AGTTCAGTCTTGGCGAGGTCCCAGACGTGTATATCAATACTTTCAATAGTACTTGGCAAATGTTTGCCAGAGGCATATATGAGTTTGTGCTATGCTGTCAGTGAACAGATGGGTAATTATGAATTCTTTCCCAAGAAGCAGTTGTGGAAAGCTGCTCAGAGGAGGTGTGAACTGGGACTGAAAGTACAACATGGAGGTCAACATGGAGGCTAGCAGGTGGGGGGAGGTAAGACAGGCACCAGAAAAAGTGACTTGTGTGAAGGCACAAAAGCATGATGAGAGATGACATATTTTGGCGGTGGTGAATGGTGTGACTAGAACCAATCCAGAATATTGCTTCTGGAGCATTGATTTGGCTCTGAGCTTCTTAGTGGACAGATTAAAAGGGAGCTAGATTAATCCCATCAAGTCTGACCTTCATGGACGTATTATAATATACATTCATTCACTCTTTCAATTCATTGAACATGTATTAATTGCCTGTTAATACATGGCATCTGGCTGGGTACTGACACTATGCAATGAGTGAATAGAGACAGACCACACTCCCTGATCTCATAAAACACCAGCAGCTGGGTTTTCTATTGAATTCATTCAATTTAGCTCATTTCACTGATTCCCCTTGTTGGAGTCAAGGCTGGGCTGAGATAAAGAAAAGTTGGCAACGTGCTGGTTATAACATACTGCCTGGATGGGAAATGAAAGACAAATTGATGCCCAACAGTGGCGTGGCCCTGCCTAAAGTTTGATTCTTCATTTAAAATACTGCAAATTACAAAGAAACCTAGCTTACATTTTAAATGGAATGTCTTATAAGTGAAAAGTCTATAACTGGGGAGGGAGAGCAGTAAAGAGCTTTTCTCTTGACAGATCGGATGATGGTTCTAATGAGCTAGAAGAAATGTATTGCCACCTACACACGCCTAAACCCAGCCACACGGCACCACAGAAGACTTTCCATCCTGCAGACTCGATGATATTTCTGAGCAAGAGAGATACAGGTTGTGTAGAAGACAGAAGATTGAGTTCATGGCTCTCATTTTTATGCAATAAGAGTGATTTGAACAGATCCTGCTGCAAAAGAATGGCTCTGCAGAAAAGAACTTAGAATCAACTACTCTAACACACATTAATAATAGAAGCCTGCACGGTTCTGTTCAGCACACCAATTCATTTAGTGTTCTAGGGGCATATTTGGCAAGTCTTTTATCTCAGAGAATTAACTGTTAAATTAAACTGCTTAAGTTGAAAGATTTCTATGAGTGCTTTACTGAGATTTTAATGGCTTGGTGGGCGTTTGGTGACACTAACCTTAAAAATTTCCCAGATAAAATTATCTCAGTAATACCATGGCACCGAACATTAGAGCCCTAATTTTCATTTTACCTGTACATGGGAGAGACCTGGAATTGTTCTGTGAGGGAGGGAAGACTTTGTCTTGTCCAAAGGGCTCTTTTTGCCTTTTTTCCATGTATAAATGGGATGCCATCTTATCAGGAGTGTTTCCTAGTTATGGTCTTGATTTTTTACTCATTTCTATTCTTAGCTGGGCTGATTATGAGAACACATTAATTGGCTCTACAGAATATTTGCACTCTAGGTCCTGCTCAATACTAATCAAAATCTTGGTTATGAGAAATAATTTTTACTTATAGAGTGTTGACTGGAGATTATGCAGCACATTCATCCTTCTAAGGACTCTAAAATCAATCCTTGAATTAAGGCAGACTGTCAGGACCCGGCCCTTCCGAGAGCTGCTGTGATGAACCAGGCTTTGGCATTCATTGCACATTCCCACAGAGGGCCTTAAAGGAAACACCTGACACTAGTTTTACAACGTAGGAAGCTTCATGTAGAAGGACATGGTCTACCATAACCTCCTTATGAAGACTTACCGAGAAATATTTCTCCTAAGCAATAGTGTGCTGTGAGCTTGCAGATCTTAGTTATGTGGCTGGGCTGGGCAGGGTGGCTCACACCTATAATCCTAGCACTTTGGGAGCCTAAAGAGGGAGGATTTCTGGAGGCCTGGAGTTCTAGCCCAGCCTGAGCAATATAGAGAAACCGTGTGTCCACAAACAATAGAAAAATCAGCCTGGTGTGGCGGGGTAACCTGCAGTTCTAGCTACTCCAGAGACTGAGGGGGAAGGATTGTTTGCATGCAGCAGTTTGAGCCTGTGGTGAGCTATGATGAAGCCTGTAGCCTGCCTCCAGCAGGATGCTGTATTATTAAACCACCACCACCAATGATAACACGGGATTGACCTTATTGTCCTCTTTGCACAGCCTGCTGAGAAGCTCAGAGCCAAATCATGAACCACGTAAAGCAAACTTACAGAACTCCATGATATTTTTTATATACAATTTCCCTTACTGTACTATCTGATTAAAAGAATTATTGAGGTAAAACATATAAAATTAACTATTTTACAGCAAATGATTCAGTGGCATTTATTAATTTCATAATGTTGTGCCTTCTCTACCTCTAATTCTAATCCATTTCACCAAAAGAGAGATCTTTGCTTTATTTTCTCTTCCATTTTTCTTTCAATTCTTTAAAATAAAATTTTATGTATTATATCCATATCTCCATGTCCAAAATCTTTCTTATTTCTTTCTTCCATTTCTTCCTTCCTTCCTTTTTTTTTTTTAAATAGAGTCTCACTCTGTTGCCCAGATGGAGTATATTGGTGTGATCCTAGCCCACTGCAGCCTACAAATCTATTTTTTTAATGGGGCAGGATTTTAATAAACAAAATTAAGAATATCGAATTACAAGCCACATCGTAGGAAAGTGAGAAGGGGCAGTCAGGAAATAGGAGAAGAAATACAAAGAGTCATGTTGTGGAAACCAGATGAAGGGGTTTCAAGAAGGGAGCTCTCGACAAGAACTTCGTGCCGGAAACGTCAAGTACAATGAAGATGAAAATGAGGCTGCTAAGTTGATCAGTGAGGAATTGGTCTGTGACTTTTGTGAAAGTCCTGCTCCTGTATCATGTGGTTGGAGGTGAAAACTTGGGATTAGGAGGTGAGATAGCAGAGGCTATTTGGAAAAATCGACATAGTAGTATAATGGAGAAGAGGCTATGGTTTGAGAGCAAAACAAGTTTAAGGATATATGTACATACATCATATATATATGTATATTACTTAAGAATAGCATTGCTTATGTCAAATATAGTACAACAGAGGGAGAAACTTGAACCATAGTCCTGGCTCTGTGATATTGAGCAAGGTACTTCACAACTGTAGTTTTGGTTTTCTCAAACCAAACACAGAAGCTTCACTATGTCATCTCTCAGATTTCTTCCAACTTTGGTGTTCTATGGTGTATTTGTGAATGTATGGAAGGTATAAATAAAATGGAAACAGTAAAGCAATTTGCCAATATGATAAGGCTTTCATCATTATATAGTAGGTAGACTATTATTTTTACTAATCTACCTGGAATGCTGATCTTATAAGTAAGTTTTATGACTTAATGCAAGAAAAGAATCTAGATGGCATTGCACATCAACAATCATTTCACTAAAGGTTTTGTTTTATTTAGGCAACTCTAAAATGATTTGGAACTCAAAATAGGTGTTGATATGGCTTGTGGTTAATTATTGACACTTCTCCTATCAAGATATATAAAGTTTCCTCCTTTTGAATCTAGGTGGGCTCGATATCTGTGATGAAGCCCAAGCTACTCTGTGGAAGGACCCTGGATAGAGAAGAACTGAGGCCCCAAGCAATGAGCTCTGGGTGAGCACCGATTACCCAGTCAGGTGAGTGAACCGTCTTGGAAATGGTTGTTCATTGCCAGTTGAGATACTCCACCTGACACAGCATAGAGCGGAGAACTATCCCCACTGATCCCTCCCCAAATTTCAGACCTATGGGCAAAATAAGTAATTGTTGTTTTAAGCTAGCAATCGTAAGGGTGGTTTGTAATGCGAAGGTAAGAAACCGTCAGGGAGCAAACATTTCTCCACTGCGAATCATGCAAACCAAATCCGATTTGTACAGATAGTTCTTCTAACATCCCGTATATACAGTCCTGAAAAACTTGGCATTCTCTAAATTGGCATACTAATTCTACACAGGGTTTATGAGGAAAATGGAATTGAGGCGAACTGATCAAAACCTGTAGAATTTTAAAAGAGAGCCCTAATAAAATCATAATAATCTTATTAAAAATGCTGCCCATATCACATCTCCACTGGCATTTGCTCTTAGAATTGCAATGTATTCTTATCAATCTTGTATCCTGGGTTTCCTTAAAGGCATTTTAACTTGTAATTTTTCCAGCGAATAGGGGTTCTTGGAGCCACTAAATCAGCTACTTTTTGCATTAAAAAAGGCTCTTCTGTAGGATTTTTTTAGTCTCCTCCACCCAAAGTCTTCATATAGTGCTAAAATTTTCTCTTTAACTGTAAGAAAATTTGATTTTATTGCCTCAAAAGTCAACCTTTGGAATTCAAAAGTAGATCAACAATACTTCAGTGTTTATGGACTTTCTTCATGTATGTCAATTACATATGTGCTAATTTTGACTAAAGAAACACCTGCAGCAGAACAGACAGCATCGACAGCCAGCCTGTCAGAGGCATGTGGTCATGTACACGCAACTGTAAAGGCCTGTAGGTATCAGGCTTCCCTGATCATGATCTACCCTGTGCTGAGGTATGCTCAGAAGTCAGGAAGCCCAGAAGAGACAGTTGTTCTGGGTGGGCAGCAGTGGGTGCTGCTTTGGTTTCTGCTTCTTTGAACAGAACCACCGGGAAAGAGCTGCAAGTGCTGGCTGTGGGACGCGGAACCAGAGCTGGAGGAAGGATGTGGGCATGTCCTTCGCTCCAGAGGGCGTGGGTCTATGGATTGCTCTTCAGTTGGAAATGTTGGTGAGAGAAAACCTTCTCCTGAGTTAGGGTGGCTTTGCACTGGTCTTTAAGGCAGGGTCATGAATGGATTCCTCAAGTAGGTTATTGTCATCTAGCACAGATTTTGTGGGAATAAACTCACCAGGTAGACCATGCTCTGCTCTGTCCACTGTCTCAAGCGTGGGTTCACCCAGAGTAATTTCAGGACTCAAAGTAGCATCCTGAAGAATGAATTTGAAAGATGTCATAAGAGAAAAACTCAATTCAATTCAAACTGGGGGTTGGGGGAATGAGGGAGAAGGAGGGGAGGAGGTGGGATTGGTGGGCTCACACTTAATGGGCACCATGTAAAAGTACACAGCACACCTCCCGGGTGTGGGATACAACTGCAAGAGGGACTCTACATAACAAATGCAACTATTGTGACATAGTTGTTTGTACCCTTACATTAACCTGAAATTAAAAAAAAAAAAAGATGTGGGCGGTGCCTGTGGCTCAGTGAGTAGGGTGTTGGCCCCATATACTGAGAATGGCAGGTTCAAACCCGGCCCCAGCTGATCTTCAACAACAACAACAAAAATAGCCGGGCAATGTGGTGGGCGCCTGCAGTCCCAGCTACTAGGGAGGCTGAGGCAAGAGAATCACCGAAGCCCAGGAGTTGGAGGTTGCTGTGAGCTGTGATGCCACAGCACTCTACTTGGGGGCAACAAAGTGAGACTCTGTC